GTACAATACCATACCCTGTAATTTCATAATTTCTATATTACCATATCACAACTTGTTATATCATACAACATATTCTATAACATCATATCATATTGTATCATTATTATAAGATCATACTATATAGTATTATTTCATATAACATTATCATAACATACTATACATACCATCGTACCATATATCACAACTATATTGAATCACATTTCAATATGTCATATCACACAACACATTAGCAATGTCATAGCTTGTCCCATCATATCTTATCATATCATACCATATAATGCCATGTCATTCCATGCCAATTTATTTCATATCGATCAATCATATCAAGCAATCAATATTTCGCGTTCATGTGACCGGTCTCTCTTCCAACGGAAAAGCCGTATATCAAATTTAAAAAACACTCCTCTTTGTCCCTCAGTCAGGAATTCAATTTATCCGTCAATACTTCGCGCTCAACATTTTGGGCGTCTGGGCCTCGTTTAGGTGTTTGGGTCGTGTGTGACAGTTTGACATGCATGTATCTCACCAAGTTTAATTGACTAGTGGTAGAGCGTTCGCGCGGAGAGCGGAAGGTCCGGGGTTCGATTCCCGGCCGCGTCATACCAAAAGACGTTAAAAGATGGTACTTGTTGTAACCCTGTCTGGCGCTCGGCATAAAGGGGCTTAAACAAGGACTGGTCGGCTCGGAGTCAGTATACTGTGTCTGAGTGGGGTATCCATGTTAAACTGCAGCATGGTATCTCAGTGAGCTAGCTATAAATCGGCATCAGTTTGGACTTGTACAAGCAGCCACACATACACGTGCATGCAGGTCGCTATATAAGTACACTAATATTGGATGCGACGTTAAACCCCGTTCACCTCACCTGACCTAATTGACAAGGTGTAACCTGTGACTTTGGATACACACCCACAGGCGCGAGCCTGTTTGACGTGATGACACAAAGTCATGAACTCGGCAATACGTGACAAGGGGTATTTGAACGTGACTCGTCGCTGTCCCTCATCGGGTCGCCAGTTTGGCTCAGAAATCTTAACCTTGAAAGTTTTTAGTAGTGACCATAGGAATAACTAATAAATATTTAGATAGATAGAAACAAGGAGAATGTACAGTTTACAGGAAAGTAAATGAGGTGAGATTGAGAGGTATATATGGGAAGGTGTCACTGCCGAAGTCAGTTGCATAATTACATGCCAGCATCATTTTCAGGTCAGCTTCATATACACGTCACTTTGATACACAGGTCCGTTTGATATACAGGTGTACGGGTCAGTTTCATATACACGTCCCTTTGATATACAGGTCCGTTTGATATACAGGTGTACCGGTCAGTATCATATACACGTCCCTTTGATATACAGGTCCGTTTGATATACAGGTGTACGGGTCAGTTTCATATACACGTCACTTAGATATGCAGGTCCGTTTGATATACAGGTGTACAGGTCAGTTTCATATACACGTCATTTTGATATACAGGTCCGTTTGATATACAGGTGTACGGGTCAGTTTCATATACACGTCACTTTGATATAAAGGTCCGTTTGATATACAGGTGTACGGGTCAGTTTCATATAAATGTCCTTTTGATATACGGGTCCGTTTGATATACAGATGTACGGGTCAGTTTCATATACACGTCACTTTGATGTACAGGTCCGTTTGATATACGGGTGTACGGGTCAGTTTCATATACACGTCACTTTGATGTACAGGTCCGTTTGATATACAGGTGTACCAGTCAGTTTCATATTCACGTCACTTTGATATACAGGTCCGTTTGATATACAGGTGTACGGGTCAGTTTCATATACACATCACTTTGACATACAGGTCCGTTTGATATACAGGTGTACGGGTCAGTTTCATATACAGGTCATTTTGATATACAGGTCCGTTTGATATACAGGTGTACGGGTCAGTTTCATATACACGTCATTTTGATATACAGGTCCGTTTGATATACAGTTGTACAGGTCAGTTTCATATACACGTCATTTTGATATACAGGTAAGTGTCATATACAGGTCATTCCCATTTTCAGATCAGCTTCACGTTACGTCACTTAGATACCCAGGTCCGTTTCATATACAGGTCATTTTCATTTTCAGGTCGGCTTCATGTAACGCCTCACTGACGGACTTTAAATGGTCGATTCTGGACCAGATAAACCAATGATGAATAGAACGAGCAACGCCCCACATCGTCGGGGTACAGTGACACGTAATCACAATGCCACCCAGGCTGACCACCCGATCTCATTAGTCGCCTATCACGACCATCATTGCTGCTTGGGAGTAGCATGAAGATCCGGGGTAGAATAGGTCTTCAGCAACCCATGCTTGCCGTCAAAGGCGACTATGCTTGTCGTAAAAGGCGACTAACGGGATCGGGTGGTCAGCATTGGTTCATGCATGTCATCGGTCCCAATTGTGTGAACTGACAGGTCTGGTGGAATCACATGGTTGTCTGGTCCAGACTCGAATATTTACAAACCGCCGTCGTGCAGCTGGAATATTGCTGAGTGCGGCGTTAAACAACAAACAAACAAATAAACAAACAATGTTGCTTGGGGCCGTGAATCCCAACTGAAGAGAGAGACGAATCCACGAAGGACGTGTACTACACTAGACAGCTGTTTTATTTCCTAAAAGTATTATTTTTTACATTCGTATTCACGTACAAATGGAGTTGTGTAACAAATGCAACATCGGCAGTACTGCAAACACAAAACCACTGTCATTTGAGAGAACGTGAAATCAATGCCTGCATATGACCCTCCTGTCACCGAGGCACGTTATCAAAATAGTATCACGCGTCAGTAAATACATGTTTGTAAAGGTATGACACTTTAGCATGAACATTTGTGAAGCGCGTGGTTGGTACGTGAGTGGCGACGGCTGGCCTCCTTATAAACTGCCTTATCAACACATGGCACGTGTTTTACCTTTGGACTGCGTATTATCAGCTTTTGATACGATGGTATTACCAATATTAATTTATGGTTCAGAAATCTGGGGCTTTGAAAATTTAGAAATTATAGAAAGAATACACCTCAAATTTCTCAGACTTATCACAGGATTAAGAACTTCAACTCCTCGTTGTATGATATATGGCGAATTAGGTAGGCTACCATTAAGAATAATAATTTGTAAACGAATGATATGTTTCTGGCTCAAATTAACATATCAAACTGGTGTGTGTAAACTTTCACAGCTGTTATATAAATATCTGTCAATTAATGGGAACAAGACTATTGCATCAACAAATCCCTGGGTTAGAGGTGTAATGGATATATTAGACAGTATTGGATTATCTTATGTATTTAACAACCCGTCAATTTGCACAACAAAGTGGCTAGTGTCAGAAGTAGAGCAAATACTTAAAGATCACTTTTTCCAGAAATGGAGAAGTGACGTTAATTCTAGTTCTAAAGGCTTATACTATAAACATTAAAGGACACTCCGGTTCTCGATAAATATCTTCTATTGCCAAAACGAATAGCAATTCCAATACTACGATTTCGAACCAGTAATCATAATTTACCTAATGAGACTGGCCGATGGAAAAAAATTCCAAAGGAAAATAGAACTTGTAAATTATGTAATTCCCCATCACCATGAATTTCACTACTTATTCAGATATAATTATTTTAAAAGAGAGAGGCGAACATTTCTCTCATCATATTATACTGAAAGGCCAAATATAATAAAATTTGTAAAACTCTTATCAACAACAAACACACAGAGCAGGGCATCTGGCCGTGGTAACCGTGGCAACGGGCACGTCTCTTCATAGTTCGTGACGCAGGGACGTGTTTGAAACTGAAGCCTGACTAAAACACGTGTTGACTGGCCGTTATCAGAAACAATAACCTGCCCAGCAACACCCCCATACGCTGGCCAGGACTCCGTAGCATAACGTTTGGGGTCAAGACCAATTTGTATACTGTTAGTTGTCAAAAGATCTCGAGGGGTATTGGGTGGCATGACGGCTCTGGTACATTGGCTCATACACAGGGTACATCACGTCATAGGCCCAGAGGGATCCGTTGACAACGATTTTATCCTACCGACATTCAGTAATTCAGTAAAACGCTGTAATCTAGCCATTTTGACAGCTGTGATGACGCAAACGAGCCGGGGTTCTTCACTTCGCCAAATGCATTCGGATAAACATCAACTGATTTCACATCAATTGATTTTCAACGACACTTAGGCGAGATAAGAATGTCGCATACGGTGTGTTTCGATTGATCTCTCTGAGGGCTACATGGGCGGGCTACAGGGAAAATGACTGATTGCTCCTTATCCAATCAAAAGCTAGTATTTTAATGTAAGGTGAGATGTCTTCTTGTGTGACAGTTTACAGCGATTCTGACAAACCAGAAATTGATAGCTTGATCGACAACACAAGCACCGGAAGACAGGACAAAGCTATATTTTTTAGGTAAGGAAATGGCCAGTGAGGTTTAACGCCACGTTCAAGATTATTGCAGGCTAATACCATATTAATTGTGTTAGCTCACTGAGGTTTCAGTAACATTGATACCCCACTCAGACACAGCATACTGACTCTGAGCCAGGCAGGGTAACAACAGGTACCATCTTATACCGTGGTTTGGTATGACGTGATTCGGGATCGTGTGTGTATGTGAGTGTGTGCGTGTGCGTGTGTGTGTGTGTGTGTGCGTGCGTGTGTGTTTGTGTGTTCGTGTGTGCGTGCGTGCGTGCGCTTATGTGTGTGTGCGTGCGTGCGTGTGTGTGTGTGCGTGCGTGTATGTGTGTGTATGCGTGCGTGCGTGCGCGTGCGTGCGTGCGTGCGTACGTGTATGTGTGTGTGCGTGCGTGCGTGTATGTGTGTGTGCGTGTGTGTGCGTGCATGTGTGTATGTGTGCGTGTGTGCGTGCGTGCGTGCGTGCGTGTGTGTGTGTTATTTTGATTTTGATATTGATTTTGATTTTAATTTTGCCTGTACCTACCGACTCCTGCGTAGTGTTTTCATAAAAGTCTGGTTCAGGTTTAATTATTTACAGGTACTTACAGCTTGAACATTGCAAAGAGCGGTGTGTACAATCAAACAAACAGCCTCTTCAGTTTATCCATGTCCTTGTGTTTTGCATAGCTAACCAACAGAAGTCCAGATGAGGCAGCACTGGAGCGTACTGACGACAACAGCGATCGTCTCAATCACAGTGATTTGTTACGTGGCTAAACAACCTACGTTTAATCACTTAATCCCGACGGTTTTTAGAAACATCACCATGGCGTCTGCTAGTCTCCGGGTAACGCGTCCCAGTAACGTCACCATGACGTATTCCAGTGGCGTCAACACGACGTGTCCTAGCGTTCTCGGAGCAATGTTGTCGGGATCCTGGAAGACACGACCTTTGACAGAGACCGAGGAAAATGAAATGGAATTATTGCAACAAGTCATCATGAAGGAAAACAGCATCGCAAGTTTAGAGCGAGTCGACAAGAGATGTGGAGACATCTCGTACCCTGGATCTGGGTGGTTCCGTGCGCTGTGCGAACCGAAAGGAACTTCTCCCTGTTGTTATGGCAACGTTTGTCAAATGAAAACGGTTGAAGAATGTGCTTGTGATGGTTGCTACGACCTTCGGTCACCGATTCATGCGGAATACTCAACATGGATACCTCGTGATAGCAGGTGCGTGATTTTATTATACCACCCCCTCCCCTTGATTAAACACATCTGTGACGCCACTCCATTATTTTGCAGGAATGGAGAGTGGTTTGTCAATAACACATTATCTTGAACCACATTTCATTTGATTTAAACTTGGAATACACGAACTATGTTTTCATATTTTAACAAGGCAGGTTTTTTCAGAAAATATATGTCGGCAGCGACTTTCGAACCCGTATTGTTTGATTTGAGGAGGTCTAATTGTTGACCTCAGCTACTCGGACACATGACAATGCCGTGTGAAATTAACAATTAAATATTATCAAATAGTTGTATAATCCTCAAAGCTACAAAATGTATATAATGTTGTGTTACAGATGGTTACCTATAAAATGTTCATATTTAAGTCAATTAGATAATCCTTTGACGCGAAAATAACTCCAGGTAAACTGGGACGAGTTGGTCACGAATGGGGAAATTACCCCGGCGACTTCGCCTCTTTCCGTAACCGCACCGAATTCGATACATTAATGGTTGACATTCGCGGGGTGGGGTTATTAGAGATAAGAGTTGGTGGTTACCCAAATGCTGAAATGCTGACAAGGGGAATGACTTTAGCTTTTCAAAAGGAATCGCTCCCTTTATGTCAAGCATTATTCCGGCAGCTCCATATTTTGAGGTACAATCGAGCAAGCCCTTTCTACGAAGAGCGTCATACGATTCCTGCTCAAAAGCTGTTTGATCAAGGTTACAACTTTCAGTAAAGCTTCCAAAATGGTTTTGTGCTACACATGTGGAGGGCATTTCCAAATTTGACGAAAATGAAGTCCTATGCAATTCCCTATTTTGACTTATACAATGTGATTCCGTGTTTTTTAGGTGAACAGTTGACTTGCCTTTGCATGTGTTTTGACGGGTGCAGGATACGCTCACCTTTTCGCGAACGCCACTATTCACTATTTGATAGTGATTCGCAGGCTTTTATTAATATGAATATTTAGTATATTAAGCCCGTTAAATTCACCAAATAATACTAAAATGTGTTCAAATGGTCCCAAATGGTCCCTTCACAAGACGACTTTTCCGTGTATGCTCTGTAGGTATAACGTATGACGTACATTGGACATTGTAAAGCGTGGAGGATATTTCACAATGCAACATATTGTTATTTTGGGAATACAATTCCTTTATACTTTACAGTAAAGTACCAAGTATAGTACCTTATTGAGTCCAGTGCAGGATTCAGACCCACAGGTAATTGTGACAGATGTCACAATTAGATTGTGACCTCACACATGTGCTTCGTATAGATATTTCAGTAACGAACATGTGTCACGTTTACCTCAGAAATTCAATCTGTTGAATCTCATGGCAACATTGATTTTTTGACTTGATGTTTGCTCATGTCATAGAGCTCCTGAAACAATTGTCATCAATGCCATTTGGATAATATATACGATTTTGTGTCCCCCCACACCCCTCTCTCTCTCTCTCTCTCTCTCTCATACCCACACATACACTCTCTCTTTTTCTCACACACCCTCTCTTTTTTCTCTCTCTCTCTCTCTCTCTCTCTCTCTCTCTCTCTCTCTCTCTCTCTCTCTCTCTCTCTCTCTCTCTCTCTCTCTCTCTCTCTCTCTCATACCCACACATACACTCTCTCTTTTTCTCACACACTCTCCCTTTTGTTCTCTATCCCTATCTCTGTCTTTTTCTCACACACTCTCTCTTCTCTCTCTCTCTCTCTCTCTCTCTCTCTCTCTCTCTCTCATCCCACACATACACTCTCTCTTTTTCTCACACACTCTCCCTTTTGTTCTCTATCCCTATCTCTGTATTTTTCTCACACACTCTCTCTTCTCTCTCTCTCTCTCTCTCTCTCTCTCTCTCTCTCTCTCTCTCATACCCACACATACACTCTCTCTTTTTCTCACACACTCTCCCTTTTGTTCTCTATCCCTATCTCTATCTCTGTCTTTTTCTCACACACTCTCTCTTCTCTCTCTCTCTCTCTCTCTCTCATACCCACACATACACTCTCTCTTTTTCTCACACACTCTCCCTTTTGTTCTCTATCCCTATCTCTATCTCTGTCTTTTTCTCACACACTCTCTCTTCTCTCTCTCTCTCTCTCTCTCTCTCATACCCACACATACACTCTCTCTTTTTCTCACACACTCTCCCTTTTGTTCTCTATCCCTATCTCTGTCTTTTTCTCACACACTCTCTCTTCTCTCTCTCTCTCTCTCTCTCTCTCTCTCATCCCACACATACACTCTCTCTTTTTCTCACACACTCTCCCTTTTGTTCTCTATCCCTGTCTCTGTCTTTTTCTCACACACTCTCTCTTCTCTCCTCTCTCTCTCTCTCTCTCTCTCTCTCTCTCTCTCTCTCATACCCACACATACACTCTCTCTTTTTCTCACACACTCTCCCTTTTGTTCTCTATCCCTATCTCTATCTCTGTCTTTTTCTCACACACTCTCTCTTCTCTCTCTCTCTCTCTCTCTCTCTCTCATATCCACACATGCACTCTCTCTTTTTCTCACACACTCTCCCTTTTGTTCTCTATCCCTATCTCTGTCTTTTTCTCACACACTCTCTCTTCTCTCTCTCTCTCTCTCTCTCTCATCCCACACATACACTCTCTCTTTTTCTCACACACTCTCCCTTTTGTTCTCTATCCCTATCTCTATCTCTGTCTTTTTCTCACACACTCTCTCTTCTCTCTCTCTCTCTCTCTCTCTCTCTCTCTCTCACTCTCCCCTCTCTCTCTCTCTCTCTGTCTGATATATGTTCGTACGTGGCTCAGCAATGTCCTTATATTGTTATAACAAAGGTAATCTCTTATTCCTCAATCACGTCTGAGCTTTTCATTTAGGTGCAAGATGGAAACGTTCACGTCGGGGACGGCATGTCAACTCCTTCGCGGTGGAACATACCACTTCTACGGCGACTCTCTGGTCAGGCAGATGTTCCTGGCCTTTATCATCATACTCAAGGGAGACTATCAACATGGTGGACTACGACCCGATGCGCCAATAGGTATGACTGTTGACTCATTTGGAGATGACCGCCACCGTGGCCTAGTGGGTAGAGCGTCTGCCCGTGGAGCGTAAGCTCGGTGGTACGATCCCCGAACGCATGACACCAAAACACATTAAAATATGGTACTTGTTGTCGGCTTGGATTCATTATAGTGTCTGAGCGGGGCATAAGTCACACACACGCACACGCACACGCACACGCACACGCACACGCACACGCACACACGTGTCACACGTGTCACACATGTCAGCCCGAGTGATAATAAAACTTCAGTTGTGTCATACACTTCAGTTGATGATAATAACCTTTGTTTCAGGGGGCGGTCGGGTAGCCTAGTGGTTAAAGCGTTCGCTCGTCACGTCGATTCTTGACATGGGTAAAATGTGTGAAGCTCATTTCTGGTGTCCCCCGCCGTGATATTGCTGGTATATTGCTAAAAGCGGCGTAAAACCAAACTCATCCAACCATCCTTTGTTTCAGATGCTAAAAGGAATTGTGCAGGGATGTATGTCTTTCCGATGAGAAGCTGCCGCCAGTATATTGATTATGCTCCAACACTGTGTAACGGAACAGTCAAGGCTGTATTTCGGGCACACACAGATTCTGGTTCAATATCAAGGATGACAAAATATGTGAAACAGCTTCTGGACAAACGACGGTCCATGGTTCTGTTTGGCTGTGGACTGTGGAAATTCTTTAACAGACAGGACACGGAGAACTATGCCATGTCTGTCATAAATACAGTTCATCGGGGGAAGAAACGGACCTGGCCAAAACTGGTCTGGTCTGGGTTCCATCAGTTCGGCATCTGGCGAAGAGCATTTGTAAAGGGAGTAGACAATGAACATGCAGAGCTTTTCAACAGACACATGAGGAAGGTCGTAGAGGAGCACAGTGTCCCTATGTTCGACTCTTTCAACTTGACAAGAGAAGTCCACAGCGTTGACGGGACTCATTACGGCGCAGGTGTTAACTTTCTTAAAGCTCAAATTTACTTGAATTATATAAAAGAACTTCAAACACAAGGCAGGTGGGAATAAAACTATCGACAGAAATACGAAATTGCGTTTTGTTTTGGTGTCATACGTCATGCACTATTAGTTCTCTACAAATATTTTTCATGAATTAATAGTGATTTAGTAAATATATTGTAATAATATATGTAAATGCATAAATGCATGATAAAGACACTGACGTGGACGTTAAGTCCCCTTTACACAGGGCCTCGACCTTTGTGCCACCTTTGTGCGATCAAAACCTGGCCAGGACGCTTAATGGTCGCCTAAATCCAGAAAACCATGTTTCTGTGTAACTGCTCCAGCAGTTGTTCAGCAGTAACTGCTCGAGTTGTTCAGCGTCAACCACAATGAACAGGTACAAGCCCTCTATTTATAGGCAGGCTGAGGAGCACTACAGGTAGCTCAAAAGAGGCAGAAAAGAGGCAGAAGAATTGCCATGATGTCTCAAGGGTTGTCGTGGTCGCCGAATATAGGCACGGCGGCCACCAGAGTCATCGTTCAATGCACGCTGTTGGTCGCCCAAAGGAGGCACAAGGGAGGCAGAAACATCTCCCAGATTGACGTGAATATTTTTCAGCAGAACGCATCTATTACCTGGCGACCATTTGGCGACCACTGTGCCTTCATTCTGCAACAACGACAATGCTTGTGCCTCCCTTCTGCCTCCTTTGATCCACCTTTGAGCATCCAACCTCCTCAGCGACCTTTGTGCGACTGTTTTAAAAATGTTCATGTTCAAAACTTCACGGCGACCATGGCGTCCATGGCGATGTCTCATCCTCCTGTGTACCACCTTGGAACGACCTAGGCAACCATTCTGTCTCCTATGAGCATCCAACGACGACCAGGCAAACTTTATGGTCGCACGCGGGGGGCACAAAGGTCGCCATCCTGTGTAAAGGCCCCATTATCAAGTGTGATAAATCCAGATGTTTCCTCAATATCAATAGGCCTGACATAGACAGTGTGATTGATGGGAGGCCTATTGATTTCAACAGTTTGCGCCAGTTCAAGGTTACAAGGTTGGTACTGATGTATTCCCAGTGTTATTGAACATATATACGTAGTGTTGATATTGAGTTTTATAACTGTACGTCCTGTTACGAGTTGTTTCCTAATTTGAAAAGCAAAAGTGTACCCTGACAAAAAAGTTCGTTAAGAATTAAATGTGAAATCAGTAAATAACCACACAAGATCAATGAATAATTAAAACTAATATTGAAAACCCAGGAATTGGTTTACAGTCATAAAAGGTAATACAATGGATCAAATATGTGGCAACTGTAATAAATAGCAGGCTCTATTGATAAGTTAGTGGATCGACGAATGTCCAGGACCCGTGAACATCCGGGGTAGAATAGGTCTTCAGCAGCCCATGTTTGCTGTAAAAGGCGACTATGCTTGTCTTAAGAGGCGACTAATGGGATTGGGTGGTCAGGCTCGCTGACTTGGTTGATGCATGTTATAGTATCCAAATTGCATGGATCGATGCTCATGATGTCAATCACTGGATGTCAGGTCCAGACGTGATAATTTACAGACCGCCGTCATACAGCGGGAATATTGCTGAGTGCGGCGTTAACAAACAAAAAAACAAATACGAATGTCCAGATTTTGTCGAATGATTTGAATGATGCAGGTGCTCCGTTCTTGCACCCGGGGAACAGCATTGGCAGCAGGCAGAAAACTCGGTGTTGTTAGATTGGTATCCCGCCCGCGCACTTTAAATAAATAAGTTGGAGCGTAGAAATTAAAGCACAAAACCATTTTCAATTTAATAAAAAAATATCGATTGTGTGATTCCGAATATATCTTGAGTGTGACTGTTTATGAATCACCATCGAATCGTGATGATATCATGTGTTCGCGAAAAGGTGAGCGTATACTGTCCCACCGGTGGCACCCCTTACAAACCCATGCAAAGGCAAGTCAATTGTTCATCCGAAAAACACGGGATCATATTGTACACGTCAAGATATGGAATTGTATCGGACAACTTTGTTGTCGCTGATGCGTCAAATTTGGAAATATCCTCCACGTGTCTACCATAAAACGTTTTGAATGTTTACAGGGGTCGTGAATGTTGTAACCTTGATCAAACAACTTCTTAGCAAGAGTTGTAGGACGCTCTTTGAAATCATGGTGGAAAAAGCATACTCGATTGTACCTCAAAAGTTTTGAAATTTAGAAAAACAACGACTGGGGCTGCAGGAATATTGCTCGACATTAAGGGAAGGTTGACTACTGGAAAGTTGATGTCATATTACTCTTGTCATACAGTCATGTGGAGAGTGTTTTGTCACTCTGAATCTTTATGCATAGATCTAAATATGAAACAGATGAAGCGGTATCACTGGTCTCCTTTATTTCTATTTCAGCTGGGTAAATCAGTGGAAGGGAATTGGCTATTTGTTTCTTATTGACCGGTATCAGATCATGGATATACTGTAAACAGCTTTATTTCTGCGCCGTTAAAATATTGCGAATACCACACGAAAGACAATACTGCGACGAGATATATTTGCGAGTTGCCGTGTTGAGATGACCCCTCGATTACCACACAATAGACAGCTTCTCTCCGAAGCGAGTTAATCTGAGTTGGCCGGAAAGTTGACCGAAAGGGATTGCGACCAACTCAGTGTCATGACTGTGAGTTTGAATGCAAACTATATAAGAAGACACTAATTGGTCTGTTTACACTGTCATTTGTGATGTATTGTGTGACCATTCTGCATTCATTTGTGTTTTTAACTTATTGGGTAACTTGTGGTTCTGGTTGATGATTTCAACATTTGATGACGTGTTGCAATGAATAAAGTATGTATGTATTATTTATACTTATTTTTGCGTTTTCAATTTTTTGCGATTGAGTCTCGTTCGCCAACCTCGTAATAATAAAACGGTCGCAAAAAATTCCCTGTTTACCTGAAGCTAAACTTCAACTTCCTGGCCAAATTACCTTGTATTGACTTCGCCTATCCGAGCAGAATTTTTTTATTCATATGCATCAGGAAACAGATCAGCAAAAAGGGGAGCACCCATTGGGATGCCTACACCTTGCCTAAATGTCTTATCCACAAATTATACATAGATGTTATCAATGAGGTCCAGCATTTCACATATTGTTTTCTCAGTAAACTTAAGATGGCATTTGCTTTCATTTTTGACCCATTGACCTGAACGTCTGAAGATAGGTATGTAACTATATCTATGGTCGTCATGTTTTGTGGCAAAAGCCCCAAAGATCAAGGAATGAAGTTTGTTTTTCCTTATGTTTGTCATGTGGGAAAGTGATGTACAAAGAAAAATCAAATGACAGAATCGAACCTTGTTCTTTTCTGAGATTAAGAATAGTGTAGCAAATCCGTTGAGTTTTTGAGAATCCACATGGTAATAATTTCACTTGTCTCAAATACTTTCTGTGAATATAAAGATAGTCCTTCCTTGATTGTATTAAGGATAATGTAAATCGTTGAGACAGGGATTTGGCGGTAAATTTGCGGGACCCAGCAATACATCTCTCTTTCTATGGATTTTTAGGTAGCTTTGGAATCTAGTACAAAAGAGGGATTGACATGATCAGGTTTGAAAGTTGAAAGTTTATAGTACAGATGTATGGTTTTGGCAGATTTCTCCAGTTAACATACTGGCCTTATATGTGGGATTATTTGATATGTCATTTATACCAAGTTCTTTGATCAAACAATTTATGTAGTGATGCTTTCATATACTGAACAGAAACGTCACCATGGCTAGATATATGAGAAACCTTATTTGTCCAAACACTGTAAACATACTTTGAGACATATTAAAAAGATGAAACTTGGCAAAACTGATCATCAAGGTTGAAATTAAAGTTTCAAATGTTCTTAAAGTGAAACACAACACTAGTCTCTTAGAAAATGGCATCACAAGTCAATATCTCGTGTGTCCGCATTGATGACTGCCGTACAACGTCGATACATGGATTGGATGAGGCGGTTGATGAAAGCCATGGGCACTCGAGCCCACACTCTGAGGAACGCCTGACGCACTTCAGCTGCAGTTGTCGGCCCTGGTCGGACGTCATTCAGCCGCCTTTGAATCTCGTCCCACAGGTGCTCAGTGGGATTTAAATCGGGACTGAGGGCAGGCCACCACAGGGTTCTGATGCCATTCTGCTGGAGGGAGTCTCTCGTTGCTCTCGCAATGTGATCACGGGCGTTACCATGCAGAAACTCGTGGTTGCGGCGACGTGCCAAATGAGGTATGGCGTGTGGTCTCAAGACTTGATTATTGTACCGAGCTACAGTGACACCATTGCCTCTCCCTGGACCGATGTTCTGGAAGACCACAGGGTCGACCCACTGTGCAAGACCAATTCCAACCAACACCATGATGCTCGGACCACCCTACGAGTCTCTCTCAACAACACAAGCATCCGAATAACGTTCCCCACGGCGTCGCCAGACTCTCTCTCTCTCTCTCTCTCTCTCTCTCTCTCTCTCTCTATATATATATATATATATATATATATATATATATATCTCTGCCATCTGCTGTTGAAATACAGTAACGGTTCTCGTCTGAGAAGACTGCTGGTGCTGCCACTGCTGGTGCTGCGTTGCCCACTAAAGACGGTCCCGGTGATGACGTCCTCGTTGTGGCCTGTGACAGTGGAGGTGTCTGCTCGTCAATCGTCGGTCGATCAGTTTCCGCAGCAGTAACAAAGCGATGTTGAAGATGCTGTCGCACAATCTGACGATCCTTACGTCGGGTGATGACCCTTTGTCTTCCACTACGTGGTCGATCATCTTTAGTGTTGGTGGTCTGGTACTGATGCTGGAGCCTGTTTATGGTTCTTACGTGGACTTGAAATGCATTGGCTACTTGCCGGACGGTTTGTCCAGCTTGCAATCGTCCAAGGGTTTGGTGTCGCTGATTAAATGTAAATCTTGGCATGTGGTGGCAATTCAATAACGAATGAATGTTATCCGACCTGGGTGGATTTTATAGGGCAAGAAATGGGGGAACGCATGGGCATTT